GAACTTGAAAACAATAAATGACTTGCTGTCTTTAGTTATAGTAGTTTCATATGCAACTAGCAATTTCATGTCAACTTGCACACAATAAATGACTTGTGGTAATTAAATTTTTCTAACTGAGAATTTCATATGTTCACTTCAGTCGATGCAACATCCTCTTTCCACCTTAGGTGATCTTCTATATATCATATTTTTTTCCTACATTTCAAGCCCATCCTTAACATAAGTTAGTTTATGTTTTGTTTATTCATGAAAAACACTTAGAAATACTAATAATGAAATTGTGCAAACTGCAATCCATGGTATAAATGATTATAAATCATTGAAAAAATACTATTGGCTTTTCAGTCAAATCATACATACAGTCCATTATTGTCTTACATCCATCCTCAGTGTAGTTCATGAAGAAAACAGACAATATATTATGGTTAAAAACAACTTCAACTTTATAATAAAACATTTTGTGTAGCTGTGATCTAAACAACATTCCAGTTTTCAATCATGTTTATTTGCATTGTTACATATAGAAAATTGTAGTAGGTAATTTTAGTTCATGCTAGTGATTCAATATAACAAGTAGTTTTGGGTAATGTAGTATCAGAATACGTATGTAAATGAACACAAAAAACACAAAGGTCAGTTTGAAATTTACAAATTTCCAAATTCCACGGTATCCTGTTCATGCTATGGTACAAGTCATCTGTTATATAATAATATATTTGATACACGAGTAGTACACCTATATACCATAATATGTATGATTCAGTCAACCCGACAAACTGATATTCCTCCCAAGTTGTAGAGTGTTGAACCTCACAATTCTGTTGTACCAGGAATGTTTTTAAGCTGTGTTTCCAGACTACTGCAACTCTTATTGCCACATGTCAACTACCTTTCACTCGATATATTAAGATGATCTTCCAATTAATTATGTTATCACTTTGAAGAGGCTTATAATAAATCTTCTGTACATGTATTTGTATCTTAAAGATGGCTTAAAGCTGCATCACCGCTGCATCACATGCTGCATCACAAGCTAAATAATAAACTAGTCACAAACATCTAATTGTCAGTTGTCACTTGTTTCATTCATCAAATTTCATTTGGTTGATACTCTCTAAATCTTTCAGTGATACGGTTGCTGATCCTCTTGTTGCTGGTTGTGCCTTACAATACAACAAAATAATATGTGTATTGGTGAGTAAAATATTGTGTAGTGTCTCACTTAAAGAAAGTAAACATTAGACATCGAATTGTAATAGGTAATTTTCCATTTACAGCCAGGTCTTGTGAATTGTGTGAAAGGCGCTGTTGAAACATCTGAGGCAAAAATCAAATGATTTGATATTAAGCTTGAATTTATTTTGTTATAGCTCAATATCAAAATGATAAAATATCGTTTTGATGAAAAAAGCCCACCTGATGTAACTGATTTGAACATCTCACTAATAAATCAAACATTTTGTTACATATATATTTTAACGTGGATTTTTCAATGTTCAATCAATTTATAATGTCTCTGAGCATAAAAATGTTTTTTTTTTTCCAGTGAAATAAATTTGTTAATTCTACACACCTGTGATGGGTCAGGCTTCCAGCCAATCATATACAAAATTTGAAAAGTTGCTGGTATTGAACCATCTTTATTTCCATACATTTCTGCAATGCAAATAACACACAAGACATTACTGAGACATGTAGCTGTAGCATACAATGTACTTTGTCAATTACTGGCAGGGAGATGGTGCATTCGTTCCAAAACTATAGATACTTGATTTCTGGGAATGAGCAACTAGCAATAATGGTAAATCATCCACAGAGTTGGAAGTAAATTGGACAACACATGCCGAAGATGCGTTTCCAGACATGTAAAAATACCTGATTTTAGTCCTTAATTGTCAGGGGTCAGCCATCTTTGATCAGATATAACATTTTAAGTTCATTGCTCAAAGCATGTCTGAGATTGCCAAAAACAAAATGGCTGCCAGTCATAAGCCATTTTTGTAATCACAAAGTTTGAACCAAGTCAGACAACACTTGCATGTCAAAATACCTGATTTTAGTGTTGTTTTCTACGACTAAAATGGTCAGCAGTAACTCTTCCAATCCCAACCATGAAATCATTGAATGTATCAGATTAGGTGTTAAGTGTGTGCAAGGTTTGAAGAGAATTGGTTGAAGTATGTTTCAGACACAGCTTTGAATGAATGACTAACCCATAATTTCTTGCATCAGGCTTGTCTGAACGTAAACTAAAAATTTTGAGGGATATTCCACCATAAGCGAATAGTAAATATGGAACAATATGACTGTCTTTCTGAGTAACAATGTCTCACATTCATAGCTTATAAGACATGTGACTAATCAGAGTTTGAGTGTTCCCACTGTGTTTCCTAAGGATTTCCCTTTCCGTGTGTCAAACCTCATAAGAATTTAATACTATTTAAATTATATCTAATGTTATTTGCTAAACGTGAACCATCATCTCCCCTGGGAACTTCTGCGATGTCATTCTCCATAAATAGCACAGTTAACATCCATCTTTACCTTTATATATAGCTGCAGCTGCCATCATTGATTCTCTATGTAGTAACAACTTTCTAGACCATGATGCATTGTTTTCTGCCATTCCTTTCAGATCTTGCATCAATTCAAACATAGAAGGGTAACTTACAACAATCTCATCAACATCCTAGGCAAGAACAAACAGTGAATTATTGCATTTGTGATAGTTTATGAACAGAATTTAAATTATAGGATGTAATAAATGGTTTAACAATAAAATAAAATACAAGATTATATTGATTTGACAATTGAAATCTGGACATGTATAATATATTACTGTCAAAATATACACGATTTTGAGATTATTACGAAGATACTGCAAAGTATACACAAAGACAGTACAGTGGGATTATCAACCAACGTGCACTGGAGGTCAATGCAACACGATACTGACCAAGTCTTATATTTTAACCCCGGAATACATCATGGGAATGATGTAATCCAAAACGTTTAGAACAGATTTAGCTAACTTCTTTGTGTGTATCTGGTCAAACCCTGGGGGCAGCCATATTTGTTTTTTATTATTAGAAGATGCTTATGCACATAATCGCTCCATGTTTCCTAATATGGTAGGATGAAAAAATACCCAGTGCAATACAGCAAAATTACGGCATGCTGTAACTTATGGCGTTATGGTGACAGATGTACATGTATAATAATAACTATTAACAGCATAGCAAACAGAATGCATCTTGGGAAACATTCCATGTAAGCCTTATGAAAAAGAATGAAAATACTTTAAATGTTTGTACTTCAATTCTGATATTTTTTTTACTTACTACCGTAAGGAGGTTAAATCCTGCTCTGTTTAACAGATTGCCAATATCTTGGATGTCAGTAAACGGTGAAATATGAGGAGCAAATCCCTATGAGGTAATAAGAAAACAGAGAAAAAGAGTTTTAATTGCCAAAACATATGTTGTGGATATCATTGTGGATATCAGTCAATAAAACAATATGTCACTGTTAATGACAAATTTTAAAGAATGTAAGAAAACAATCTTTTTATGAATAAAACAACATCTCCAATTGACTAATTAATCCACAAGATTCCAATTAAAGTCATTATCTCACCCCTTCTCTTTCAATTTCTGCTAGCTGCAATGAACATCTTAGTTCAAATAATGTATCAGCACCAAACATAGAACCGATAAATGGAGAATCTTTTTTAAGTGAACTTTGAATCTGAAAATAGAAAACAGGTAATAAATGACATGTGCTTTCAATTCAAAGAGTTCACAACATCCACTTTGCTCATTAAACTATTTCCTGAATCTTTATAAATTACATATGCACACACCCTTAGTAAAGCCAGAAATTTCATTTATTTCATTAATACAGTAATAAATAGATTCAATTAATATAATAATTTCCCTGTTTATTTTGGAACAATGTGATTTGAATTGATTTATCAGTGAACCAAAATACTGAAAACATTTGTATAATTGTGCTTAATTTGAGATCTGTGGATATAACAAATTTTTCAACTCAATAACAAAATATTATATGGTTTAAATAATTAAAAAAAATTAATACCTGACGAAGAGCCCTTGGAAGGTCATTCACCCAGTGTAAACTGCAAACAAAATTCAATGTTCAAAGTCAACAAGTATTTGATTCAAAATTATCTTAATTAACTACTATCTGCAAACACTTTTCTGTAAGTGATCCTCCACAATTAGAAGCAAAACTTCATCCATTGTATAGTTTTATTTCACAAAGATTTCAAATAAAATGAGTGACAAAATACGAAAATACAGACAAAGGAATCATACTGTATGTTTTCTCATGTTTGCATGTTAACTGAAATGTTAATATGCACAATTGTGTTCTCTATACATGTATGCTGAAGGAAAGAAAGGACCACACCCATATTTTTAAAAACCTTTCAAATATATCCTGAAGGCTCAACTAGATATTGTAACTGTATAGTGGTTTTTCTCAGATGATATATACAATGTACAGTGACAGATGTTTTTGAATCAATTGCATGTATGGAAATCATTGCAACACTGTCGTATGACAAAACAGTTAAGTTGAGATCTAAAGTTTATAATATGTAAAACTAACACTTTCCATAGACTATAGACTGGCCCATGATATTTTTCTTACTTTAATTTTGGTCCGCCCAAATTACCATGATTGGTTTATTTTGTAGCTTTTTCATTACTATTAAGTGTTAGTGATATGCGGTGACATTATGGAACGTGGGTGTTGAATGCACTTGCACATAATCAACATGTCAGGGTAATATGAACAAAAGCTGCCTTAGTTGACAGCATAAAATTCACCCCACCAACTCACTAGCATAATTACCACGATTCAATTTTGGTATTGTGGTAGAATGACTGCAGCAGTCTCAATGAAATAATGAGGTAGTATATTAATAATCTGTTCAATAAGCCAGTTTGTGGTTTCACTACAATCACTGTTTTATTTGCAATATTGAAAGGAGCTTTCTTTGTCCATGTCATTGTCCATGTCAATTAAGCATGTTGCACAATTTATCTTCATGGCATTCCAACAAAGCACAAAAAACATGTGATTTGAACTTATTATATTTTATTTACTTTTTAAAATTCTTACTAACTTGTTATATTTTATTTTATTTTTCTGTATTGATTAATATTTCTATTGCTATATACTGAAAGAAATGTATATTTCTGAAGATGCAATAAACAATTATTATCATTATTATTATTGCATAACAGACTCCTTTATGTTCTTAGTCCTGCGTCACTTTGATAAACAAACACAAAATGTTTGTTTATCAACAGGAAATAGTCACTTGTGACTACTCTAGAACATTCAAGCTTCAGAACAGGATTTTTCTATAAATTGTGATTTGCAAATGGTTTTAGATGATAAAATAAACTGTAGAGAAACATGCTGTTGTAATTCCCTCTATACCTTGTACCGTAAAATCTGTATTAGAAACCACATCCCTAATAGAAGTTGTACCCATTATTTTTGAACAATTGAGAACCAAAAATTCATCATTTCTCATATGTGTAGATGCTCTAATAGACGCTGCATCCCCTCTGTTGCATTGTACCATTTTAATAGAAGTCGCAGCTTCTAATACAGATTTTACAGTAATTGTCAACAACAACAATGGCTGCCAAATTGTAAAATGTTAATTGTTGAGGCTGTCACTAACCTGAGACTGCTTATGACTAAATCCAGAGATTCGGCTTTGAATGGCAAATTTTCCTCATCACAATGAATTTTAATAGTTTGAACATTCTCACATACATGACTTCTTTCCTGTAAAACAATGAATGAGATTAATAAGTCCATCAAACTATTTACAGTCTTGCGATATCCAGTGTACATGCAGGCATTATCCTAATACCGGTATATCAGTTATTATTATCGCATTCTCACTCTGAGAATTAAGCAAGAATGAGTTTAAACAGTGTATAGTAAGCTTAGCCAGTATTTTGTCACATAAATTTTATGTGAATCCATCTATTGATCTATTAGTAATGTATGCGCTTATGTAAATAACAGAGGTATGGACAAAATGAGTAATACTTTTATGATTCAGTGTACAAATAATATTTTTGGTTTATATGTACTAAAACAAATATGCTACATAAATGTGATATAGAAATGTTATTTTTGCATGTCAGTTCAAGTCATTGTTCTCAATAGTACTGGTTTGATAAAACATTCAGTCCAAATTGATGTAAAATGATTTATTTCCATTTATTTATTTTTTTTCGCTGAAGAGATTCAGTGAAAATAAAATCCAGCGAATATACCTTTTTCCTATATATTTCACGTTCAATTCTACAAAAATCAGTGAAAATAAATTCTATACAAAACACCCAAAAAATCTTTTCAAAATTAATTCCAACTAAAACAAAGTATTTTACAGTGGTGTATTTATGGAAACCATAGAAATAACATAAATGCATGTACAATGACATCATAAAGTTCCAGTAGATGATGTAGAAGTAACTTACTAACATCTCTGCAGACATATCAGATTGGTAAAGTGTATCAACCATGTCCTAGGAATAAAAGAAACAAATTAGTTCTGATTCTACATCAAACAATGTTCATGTTTGCAAGAACTGCAAGTGAGATAGTATTCAAATCAAAAAATAAATAACTTAGGCAGAGGGTTCTCCAAACCCGCCTATTCACATAGTTCATACCCACCATAGACTCTGGTCAGTCAAAATGACTATTTTGAACTGCAGGCATTAATCAGCAATTCTGCCGGTGACGGAGAGATAGAATCTAAGTCAGGGGAAGCCCCATGACCCCAAGATTCTCTTTCCCTTACATCACGAACTACGTGACCGAGGTCATATGGCAGTGCCATTACCGGCTGTACAATCACTCTAGTTCCTTTCTCTCCGCCTCAAGGACTTAGATCAATGCTACGGAAAGAGTGGGGTGGTTGGGGAGGACCTGGAGTCTATGATGGGTATGAACTATGGGTATGAATAGGTGGGTTCGAAGAACCCTCTGCCTAAATTCACTACGTTCAATTACCCACCATAGACTCCAGTCAGTCAAAATGACTATTTTGAACTGTAGACAGAGTCAGACGCCAATAGGTGGCGGGTTTTCCGGGCAAACTGAAAAATTATGAAAGTCTTTTCCCAGTCTGGGATAAAATACAATAATCACTCAACACCCTGGTTAAGGCCCAAAAAAGGGTGGTGTCTTACCTTGCCTGTGCTGTCCCCGGAGCAAGAAGCCAAAATGCTGCTACGGTGACAGGGTTCGGTGTGCCCAAGAAAGCTAGACCCCAACCCAATTCTGGGGGTAGTAAGCTTTCGAAGTAAAGAGCAAAACAGTTCTGCATAAGGGCATAGATTGCAAAGCGGGTCCTGGGAGCTTCCAGGAGAGTGCTGACGGTAGAGAAATCTGTCTGCATAAAATGCAGAGACTGACTTACTGCCTATGTGCAGAGACCCTTGTGGTCGTTCGAGCTGGGTCAGCAAACCAAGACTGACCAGCCAAGACAGGACCTGACCTAAAGAGACCTTTCTCAATGGATTTGGTGTTTGTTAGGTGGTATTTGATAAAGACGTTCTGTGTTCTCCAGAAGCCTGCCCTCCGTGTATGCTTAAGGGGGGCACCTGACGCAAGCACTAGTGAGTTGGCAATCGCACAGACCTCATGCGCTCATACTTGGTGTCTCTGCAAGCTCTGTGTCGAGGAAGTTAAAGTATTATAGACCTCTAATACAGTCGCAGTAAACCACCTGGTTATGGAAGTGGGGAGGCCGGCCTATCCTGCCTGCCTGGGCCGTAACACAAAGACATGTGCCTGGCACCCCGTCCTGAATCCTTAGTACGGTTTGGAAGCAACTCCGTGCTCGAACCGGGCAAAGAAGCAATTCCTCCTGACCCACCGGGCAGACAAAATTTGACAACTGGGGGATGACAATCGGGTGAGGATCATGTCCTGCAATTTGGTTCTAGGCGAGAAACCCGATTCGTGTCTTTCGCACAACTTGATTGTCCATAAAGGCGGTACATTATCCGAGAAGAACATGCCCCCAGCTCTGGTAGACGCCTACCTGAGGCGAGGGCCAGTAGGAAGACTATTTTCCACGTCGAAAAATTTGAGTGGTGCTGATCAGAGAGGCTCAAAGGGTGGTCTGCTTAGAGCGGACAACACATCCAACAAGTCCGAGTTGGGTGGTTCCCTTGTATGGGGTCTTGGCGCCTGGAAAGCAGTAAATAGTCTCCTAATAATACGACAATCGACTAGTCTTGTTCCCGTACGTTCTCAATGGTGGGGGACAAGGCCAACCTGTAGCCAACGATCGCTGCGTAGGACAAACCCAGTTCGTCAAACAGGTGGATGAAGGAGCCTGCTACCTGGCCAATAGAGGGATGGTATGGATCAATCTCCCTTCCGCTACACCAATCAGTGTATGCTCGCAGCCTAGAAATGTAGGCTGCATTGGTGGAATCCCTGTTTGCCCTGGCCAGGACGTTGGCAGCCCGCTGAGATAAAGCTTTCGTATGTGCGGGTCTAATGAGAGCCTCTATGTGTGTAAGTGATACCCACTGGACTCGTTGGTAGTGCGCCGTCTGGTTGGGATGGCAAGTCCAGAAGCACTACTGGTGTTTCGACTAGAATTTGTGACAGAAGTGGAAACTAGGCCTTGTTTGACCAATTGGGTGTGACCAATAAAAATATGCAGGTGTGCACCTGTTGAAGTTTTCTCCCGTGCTCAGTGAACTAGCGGGAAGAGAGGAAAGGCGTACACAACTAAGTGGGTCCACAGGGTTAGCAAAACGACCCTGGCCCAAGCTCTTAGAGCCGGCAGGAGTGTTATGTACGTCGAGAGCTTGGCGTTCCGGGGTGCGGCAAACCGGTCTAACCTTAGACCGTCCCACAGCGGAAACAGCCTGGAGGCTTGTATCAGTCACTCAGTGTTCTGGAGACGGAGCCGCCTTGGAAGGGCCCCTGCCAGACTGTTCCTCACCCCTGGAAGGTGGTCTGCGGTTAGCTCCACATTGTATTCCAGGCACCAAAGGAGGATTTGCTCCGCTAGGACTGACAACGATGATGAGCGCGTCCCCCCTCCTTCTTGAAAAAGACCACCGCTGTGTTGCCTGTGCGGAGCAGGACTCTGTGGTCTCGAACTACAGGTAGAAAGTGTGGTAGTGCTAAGTATACTGCTTTCAGTTCGAGTCGGTTGATATGGTAGTCCTGAAACGTCCGCCCAGGGAGGGTGAGGAGCCACCACCTGGTTCCCTGGTGTGTTCCCTGAAAAGATTTTATTTTAATGGTCATCAACGATGGTGGATCAGTGACTTTTCTTAGAAAACACAAACTGTATTATACAAACTTTGTACACAAATTAAATCTCTACTTACATCCATAATATTTTGAGCTATATGACCTTTCCCGCAACCAAGGTCAAGAGCAACTGGAAATTTTCTGTAAAACAATATAGAGTTTATACATTTAAATTTAAAGATTTCATAAAATAGTCGGGTAACAATTTGACTTTGCCAAACAACATGCTTCAAGGCTTTTGGACTAAATTCTTCATTTGTACATATGCTTGCGTATCAGATAGACCCAATTGCGGTCATGCACAGAAGGAAACAGTGGTTAGCACGGGCTATTAAATGTCTTAAAGACATGTCCAAACTTGTTAAAAATATACAAAAATCTTCATTCATTTTAACTATGATTACAGCAACTAGGAAATATACATGTTAGTTCTTCGTGTTCACACACACACACACAACTTTTCAAATGTATTTTTTTTTTCATTTTGAAGGTTGCTGGTGATATTTTACTCAAATTAGGTGTTAGGTGTTCTGAGTAACAGAAATAAATTTTTCGAATCAAGGATGGTTCAAATACTAAAGAAGAAGCCATATTTTAAAATCCTTTTTTTCCTGTAGTTTACTCATCAACAATCAGTGAAAAAAAACTTTCATAAATAAAACTGAAATTAGTATAATTTTCTAAATTATATTAACATTCCTTATCCCACATAAAGTCATCTAAAAGCAGCAAAACTAGATTCCTTGTAAAAAATAAAAATATTCACTTGATTTGAAAAAAAAAATCCCTTGGATTTTTACTTGAAAAAGTATATTTGTGGTCTGGCTTTATGTATACATATGTAAGAAATGGATTTTAGAGTTAGAGTTTTGATTTCATTCCACTTGTAGGAGGGGATGGTATATCACACTCCCTCAGGGACTGTGGGTATATGAAATTTTCACTCAGTCATGTGTAGTCGACTTTTAAATCATTTCTGGTTATACGAGTTTTATTTGTGAACATATTGTGGGTAAACTAAGCTATGTGTTTGCTGTTTCTCATCATATTGTCCTGGGTCCAAAGCTCATGCCATCAGGAGGGAGTAAACCACTTTATTGTAACAGCCATTATGTCAGGTGGTATTCACCCAATCACTGAATTAGTGATATACCGTAGAACAAATGTGCTATAGAACAAATATTGTAATTGTGTGACTTTACCTTACTATATCTCGAAGTCGGTCAGTCATCCTGAAAGCTACCTACAAAGATACAATAATAGAAACAGCAAGACTGAAATACATTTTACAGATGGGATCACAATACATTCTGTATATCACTGTGTAATAACCAAGCAGTATAGAGCGGCTCTATTAGAGCTATTTGCAGCATACACTCTTGGTTGGAATGAATGATACATTGTACATAGTGAATTTAGCTATGGTAATACTTGGGTGCTGGACATCTCAACTCAAAAGAATCTTGACCCGTTTTTCATTGGACAACTCAACCCAGTACCCCTAGACATCTCGACCCACCACCTCGACCCAATTTCAATAGCTTTGTACTTTTCCCAGTGTGTGTATATAGACCACAGTGTTTGTTTCAATGAATTATTATTTTTTGCTGCTTTCATTATTCATTTCACAGCATTCGACCCCTGAAAAAGATGTAATTTTTGGACTGATCCACCAAAAACGTGTTGTCACAAATATTGACACGTAACAAAGGGCGTGCAATGTCATTAACAATATGGTATATCTCTTTTTGTTTTGTTGTTTGGTATGTATTTCATATATATATACATGTATGCATACATAGTTTGCATATATTGTTTACATTGCATGTTTTGATATATCTCTTTTTGAAGGATGTACGTGGTGGCAATGAAAAGTACTGTTTTGCTTGTGTACAATTGTACAAATTTAGTGTTTGATTGGACCGTATATTTTGCTGCAACAGAGTATGAGATAAGTTGTCGTAATGTCGCCAGCAACATGTTATCCCACAACCTAAATATTGTGCCTTGTACTTGTCTGTATATTGATCTTTAGTAATTGTTGAAATTTGTCTTCTTTAATGAATTGTTATTATACTTTAGTGTACACTGCCTCTCAGTAGCGGTATGGTGATGTATAATTGAAGCTTGCTTCTCCCTACTCTTGAATTTGAACGGCGGTGCCAGCGCTCAACGTTGTTATTTGTGCGTCCATGATGATGGTGGCCAAGTAGCGCTTTCTATCCATGTCGATCTTATATAATGCACGAGTCCATCTGTCTCTTCTACTGATCTTGCAGCCAATAAGTTGAATGTATCGATGATTTCATCTTCGGGTAGGAATGGTAATGCTATTAGTTGGCGGTAATAATGATGAGTAGGGCTGTTCTCGTTATAAGCAATTTGCAACTCGAGCTGCCCAACTTTCCTGGACACAAAATGTGACTAGTGAAAGCAGCAGCCCTTGATGCAGGTGCTAGGAAAAATGCTCCTCACCGCAGCTCACATAGCTGCCTCAAAGTCCATCACAAATTTCTGTACCCCGAGTCATGGCAAAGCTAATTTAACGGTCTTCAAAACTTCCTTGTAGTCTTTTACTGTTCTCCTTGACATCAGAACATACACCAACGGCAACTGTTTGATATTTCCACAATCCTCTTTCATGAAGGCGTGAATGGAGAACAACTGATAAAATAGTTGGCTGACAATCTTAAATGCTGCGTCCATGTACCATGTCTTTGATCGGCCTAGGTGATGTAACTGGTCTTGTGTGTAAAATATCAGATGATGTGCACCATCTATTCTAAGGTTTTTTTGACAAAATCTGGAGGCAGGAAACCAGTTTCAAGATCAAAATCTATTGCACATGGTTTCTTAGTTATCATTTTTTGTCTAAGAAGGTTGGCAGTGCGAATTAAATTAGCTTCCAGGGGGTGACTGTATGATGGCTTGTCTAATATGTCTTCATTACCGATCACCTCTTGTACTGTATCTGCAGCAGTCCGTTGTATATTGCTTTTGGTAGTCTTCTTAACTTTAACCATGCTTTTTAATTTTGTTGAAATACCAGACTTGCCTGGATGATTGTGGTCATGCATGGTCAAAACTGGTTCCAGTCTACACAACAGATGCAAGAAACTTCATAATAATAACAACCTTTATTGATATCGTATCCCTTCTGGGATCTAGATTAGAATACAATAAGGATATAAGGAACAATAAAATACATAAAAATAATAATAATAATAATAAAAAAGAAATAAATAGTAATACTGTGAAAATATTATTATATAAATATTTTGTTGGTGTTATTTTGAGGCAGCTGGTAAATTGCTTTTCATGAAATTCTCTCTTTTATTGAAACAGTCGCTGATAAACTTGGCAATTGCTTGGACGGTTTCAGAATTTTTGTTATTGAGAAGTGCTTTCAGATTACCGGATAAGTTTATGTTTTCAAACAAAGCATCTCTTTCAAATTTGTACTGGTTACAATTGAAGAGGAAGTGTTCTTCATCTTCAATTTCATTGGAGTCACAGACAGGGCATGTTCTATTTAAGACATCTATGTTGTGATATCGCCCAACTTCAATCTGAAGTATGTGGGCACTTATCCTTATGATCTGTAGATGGGGTTTTTAATAATTTCAAGGTATTTTTCAAGTGCAAAATCAGTTTTCAGCTGTCTGTAGGTACGAAGTTTATTTTTGTGATTAGTGCCTTTATTGTCATTATGCATTGTTTCTGTGCAGTGTTTCTCAAACATATTTTTTAGTTTTTTTGTAGCTACTGGGATAATACTGGTTTTTTCGCAAACATCACTAATTTCCAAAAGGTTCAGTAATTTTTTTATGCCTGTGGTCCAATTACTGACGTTTTCTTTGTCCAAATTGGTGCCAAGTTTGTAGGCCTCAGAGATCAGAGTGGTTTCATCCATATGTTTTATTTTCAGCCAGTAGTTAATCATACGTTTGATGCTTGAGATGATAAGTGGATATCTTCCCAGTTCAAGTAAACATGCCAAGTTTGTGGCTTTACAGTTTACTTGTAGTAGGTACTTGCACATTTTGTGATGTAATTTTTCCATAGGCAAGGATTGTTTAAACAAGTCTGTTGAGTGCATATTAATAATATTGCTTGCCCAGATTTCGCTACAGTAGAGTAAAATTGGTTTAACCATAGCATCAAACAATTTCAGATGTGTTTTGATTGGAATATTTGGGTCTGCATAGAGTAATTGTTTTAGTTTAAAAAGTGCCTTCATTGCTCTGTGACTAAGGTCTTCTTGAGCTCTGTTCAGTTTACCAGTAGCATTGATTTTAACACCAAGGTAGGAGTATGATGAGACGTTTTCCAA